CTGCCCACCTCCTTGGAGCCGATGCTGGCTATGGGGGAGAGAGGACCTACCCGCCTGAAGTCACAGCTAAGCCGGAAGAATGGAATATACATACCAAAACTGCGGAAAACAAGAGATACAAATAACTTAATTTATACCCAGGTCCCTAGGCCAACACTGCCTCAAGAGTTAAGCATATATGTATAGGATATGGGCTTCACTGTTTAAGATCACTTTTTACTTGCAGCAGGTTATACAAGTTTTATAAACCAATTTCTCAAATCAGTGTTTACAGTAAAGCTCCCCATTTCAATGCAAAATAAAGAAATGACTACAAACATAACAAGCAACATTTCAATGGCTAAAGTTATCATTCTTCAGACTATTAACACACACAGCTTGTTTTCCAAAGATTACAAATAAAATATATAAAATATATATAAAATAAAAACTAACCAAAAAAACAGAGGCTGTCAAACATGAGCAATGCATGTTGTAAAACTGACACAACAGAAGCATCTAATCGACTTCCTAAGAGGACTCTGGACTTGCAGGCAAGGGTCGTGGAAATGTTGAGGACTTGCAATCATACAGACGTTTTCACATATGCACTCACTCACAATAATATCTTGCTGAAATCTCCCATCAGCCCTCTTAGAGTTCATGTGTCTGTATACGTTCACGCATGCAGCTCAACCCGAAAACTTCAGGAGTTTTTTCCCCCCCAGTTTTGTGCATGCATGAAATCATTAACAGATTATGACATTACAGTAACCAAGAAAATCAGTGGAAGAAGACTGAGGGCCCACTCACACTAGGCAATCCGTATCGTGCCTAAGCACGCTTAACCCCTAAAGTCCAGTTATTTTGACTAGTGTGAGAGCTCTCATCTGTGCTCAAGCACGGTACACTTCCTTGGACCTGGCCCGATTGGAAGATCTGTGCATTGGCACGGTACAGTTCATGCACAAGCACAAGCATGGGTAGACAACGTGGACTTTATTCATTAAGGAGAAAGGGCAATCATGCTTAAGCACGATACGGGACAACTGGGCCTACTGTGAGTGCATCCTGATACTACACTACTACATGAACTAACTAAGTGAAATGGTGTGTTCCTTCTTGTAGATACTCACGGGTAGCAAAGGAAGAGCAGACTGAGGACAGAATATGTCCTGAAGAGGTATATGAGGGAGCGACACAGGCTCCAGCCTGTCAGCGTTAGTACAGCAAACCGAGCCATCACTAAAAATATAGAATGAGGGAAGGATAGTTTCCCACTCTGTGATGCCTGGAAGAAGAGAAGAGAGACAGGAATGAGGTGCATCACTGAAATTACTGACTGCATTTATCATACAGAACGCAGTAAAAAAAAAAAATAATAATAATAATGTGCAGTAATTTTTGTTCAGAGCAGGAATGTACAAGAGGCTATTAAACAGAGTGCAAGACCCATTTTACCAGTCCAGTATCAATATCAGTTTAAATCGTGTTTTTGTTTTTGGCCCTGGCAAGAAATACAGACAAAATGCTGTGTGCTCTATTGTGTTTTAGAATTTAATTCTTACATTTTTTTTGCCAAAAATAGAATTCTTACCTCTTTAACAATTGCTGCTATTAGCCTCCTTGCCAGTATGATGACCGTGAACACCAGCATGTTATAATCAATGAGGTGAAAGTTCTAAAAATGAAAAAAAAATTGACTTGATTTAGGATTATTGTTATATGACAACATAAATGCTCAGACATGCACAGACCTAGAGGACAAGTTAAGGCTAATAGTTCATGTAAACATCAAAACAACAGAGTTACAGTGGTGTACGGTTACCCAAACACACATCTTAACTTTAATAAACAAGATCATCAGTCTATAAATGTTGGCTCAAAACTCACCAGTGATGTGTGTGATGGAGGGTGTGATGGGGGGTACCACCATACAGTCTTATAGATGTTGACATAATGGACAAAGAGGGCAATGAGGTGGCAGAAGAAAAGGTGGAGCTCAAACAGCACATTACGATCCACGGATAACTCAGGGATCTTACAGTGCTTCAGAGGAACCACTGTCTGTGCAGCCAGCGGGGGGCTTGACATGCATGTTCCTGAACCATTCCTGCAGATGTGAAACAATAATTTATCATGTTGTATCACAATTATGTCATAATTTAGGATAAATGTAGCATGACAAACACGTGTCAGAGTGCATTCCTCAGCCCAGGTTAGAGGGAATCCACACATACCTAGTACGAGATCGCACCCCTGTGACCGGGGAGCTGGTGGAGTGGTTGCCATTGCTGACTGAGCCGGGTTCGCCGCTAAGTGGAGGTCTGCAATATGTGGTTCGGTTTGCCCCTCTCCTTCCACCAGCCATCGCAGACACACTCACGGCTCAGTTCTCCGAGTTATCTGCAAGTCTGAATGATTCCTCCCTCCCCGTGTTGCGTTTCCTGTTCACAACAATTGAGCAGGTTGACAAGTATAAATGGGAGTGCTGATCTTGAACTCCCAACAATACATGCAGAATCATCTGTACATGTTAAGTGATGTTAATGAACTAATAGATGTTCATTATTTTAAACACACTGTGAAATGTACAACAGGAAGAATTCATAATATACAGTAAAAAAAAAAAAAGACAAAGTAACAAACTGCATAAATATGCATTTGCAACTTTCTGTTCATATTTAAAGCACATGCAAGACTAATTGCAGTGCGAACATTCCCCTGCATTAATATGCATGACAGACAGCCAGCACTAAAACATGTTTATTATTAGCTGCATAGCATCCTTTCACTTAGTGCAGGCTTTGCGGAAGCTGACATAACAATATAGCTTAGTTAGCAACATAATCACATCTCTTCGCTGGTCAATTATTAGATAAAAGCCGGTTCATTTTCAAACACGAGGCAGAGGGTGGGGGGGAGACAACGTGGACCGGTACAATGAGCCCCGGACCCAGGTCTGTCCGCCAAACACCATGCTTGATTAAATACAAAGATTGAGGCCTAGGCTAGCAATGTCTCGGACTACCCAGCTAGCTTCCAAACAAACCTACGGAACAGGCTAGACAAGAAAATGTTCGCTTACCAATGCCAGTGTCTGGTTGTATGTCTTAGAAGCTACTTTGTTGCATAGATAATATCTAAACGATGTACATTTGCATAATATTTATTGAGCAATTGGCGTGTTTATCATTGAAATCAGCGGAGACAGTCATTGTTGATGTGAGCCTGAGCCGCTGATAGAAGGGGGCGCGGGTATGTTGGAGAGCTGTGGGAGGAGAGTCACTTAAAGAGATACTCCTCCAATCTTATCTCAAGGGACAGATGATCTACTTTCTCTGCCTATGCAATGAACTGTGGGAACATTTTAATTCAATGTCATAATGGTTGGGTTGTTCGCAACTATATAACCGGCGTGAAGTGAAGACAAATGTTTATCAAGCCCTTCTGATGACTGCTCACTCAGGGTCCTGCACTTTATTTTGAAAATGTATTTTAAGACTTTTATATCAACACAAACAAGGAAGAGTGCGAGTGGAATCAACTGATCAAAATATTAACCATTATATGTTTATTTCCATTAATACCTCTTTCTATAATTAACTTGATGTCAAGTAGGCTACTTATTTTTTAATGCAACATTCTTAGCACTGTTCTTCTGTTTTAAATATATAACACATGGGTAGGTTTTATTTTGATGGAGCAGCTTTAAACCAGTCTAGATTTTGTTTGGAATTGCTTTGTAACACAATACATTGATTCCTGAGTAAATATGGCTCTGTTCCATTAATTGATGACATAACTACAAGATCAATGTTCTCCAATTCAGTTCCAGTGAAACTAGGCTCCAACAAAGTGACCGTCATTGAGCAATCACACGAGCGTCTCATCATATAGACTTGTAGAACAAAAACACAATTCGCATTAAGACTTTTTTATTTCTCATAAAAGACAAGTCAAAGTTCTCAAGTATAAAAATATTGTATAAAAGGACATTTTAAAAAAAATGTAAAAACACACATTTTTTCTCTGCATCAACAATGTCAGAAGGGTCTGAGAAAATCTACAGCCTTCCTCTGCACCTTTAAAAACAAAAATCTGTTTAGGAAGAATCCGTCTTAGAGACACTGCAAGGCCTTTGCTCTTTCCTGGTACTACCAATGGGCCTGTTGAAGAGAGAGAGAGAGAGAAACACATTGATACAACATCTCACAGTGGACCAAAAAAAATCTTGCATGTGCAAAAATGTATCGCACTGACCTTAAATCTCTGGTTAGCTGGAGTTAATGTTTCAACTGCATTTACACAGTTCTGACAACCTAAGAAAAGAAACAGAAGTGAGATCTTGGACACAAACGGTGCTTTCATGTACAAAGTGGACAACACATGCAGAACTTGCTTTAAACTACAAAAGTATCATGCAACTCAAGCTGAAGGGCTTTTGTCCCCCAATGGGATGTTTTAGCGCTTTGAGTGCAACCTAAGTTTTCAATTATCTACATTTACAGTAATTATCAAGATGGAAATTGAGAAGTATTGAGAGAAATGAATGGATCATTATTAGATTTATTTGAGCAAGAGTTGCATCACAACCATTTCTGATTGTTTTTTTTACCGCTTATTTTGCTCGGAATATCTACAGATAGCATAATTTTGTACTTGAATGTTTTAATATGTTTTGGATGACTTGCATTACTTGATGTTTTGCACAGAAACAAAATAAAATTCTAACAAATGAGTGTTGGGGTTAGTTTTACCTTCTTGTGGCGATCTTTAGGCTTTTAGAATCCTCTCCTCTGCGATTTTTTTCTTTTATATAACCAGCCAGCATGACTTTGCATCAAAGTCAAGTAAGATCCCTGCAAGCTTGATTTGAAATACTGTTGAAATTCAGTTACTTCAAGTGGCTGAAGATACATTGCTCTCTTGAGAGCTTGAACTAACTAGAGGTTAAAGACAATACATGGTCAAGCACTATATCACTTTCAGGTAGAAGATATATTTGGCAGCACATTATCTCAAGGAATGATGAGCTTTATTCGTTTTTGAAGGTGACATTACAGGTGTCATTAAGGTACGTTTTGAAAACAGACGTAGTGGATAAGGTCATTGTAAAAACACTGCTGTTTTCGTTTTTTGCCAGGCTGACGGGTATACATACAGCTTTCTCAGGATTGTTGAGAAACCTCGGAGGACCACTTTCACAAAGTGAGGGCATTCCTTTGGTACAACAAAGGCAAAATACCATGTTTAGATTGGTTAAAAAGAAACTAGAAACTTTATTGAAACACGCACTGCAGAAAGACATTTTGGGATATATTAAGAATCCTATTTAGCCAAAGGTACACAAGCATTATGCATTTTAGAGACGACACGGCTTAAAGCATACACAGTTGTCCTAAGATTATGTACAAAATATTGAGTTGGCTGCAGCTTTTCTCACACACAATAAGGATTGTAATCCCTCGAGCTTGACATGAATTCGTTTTTGCAGGTATAACTTGGACAGATAACATACCAATTGTAATGGGTGGCAAAAATAGAATCTTTTTTTTTGTAAAAAGGTCAATCATATTTTGGGAGATTCTGTGACTTCTCAAAACTAGATTGCTCAGGGTTGTGTTTTGAGTTTGTGACTTGATCGTTAACTAGTTATAGAAAAATTACATTGAGGCATTATGCATAATTTGTGTCCTGACAATGGAGGACTTTAAAAAAAATCAAGTCTACGTGAGAGGAGTTTATCGCCACAATCACATTTTTACAGTAACAATTAACTTAAAATGCTAACCATCAAATATCACTAAAACATTGCTCTTGTTCCTTTGTTAGGTTTATGTCACTAGGACCTTAACTGCCATCTACGCAACTGAAACAAACATTAAATGGAAACAGGTAAACAACGAAAAACCTTTCACGTTCCACTTCTGGCACTCTATGATACACCCCCCCCTCTCAAAAAACGATTTTAACGAGTTTAAAAAAATAAAATAAACCATAAAAAAGGTGAACAAACAAGAGGGAAATTACTTTTGAAAAATGTTCAGCGAGTTACAATCTTAAGACAGTTGCCATAGCAACTCTCTACCAGTAGCCGTTCAGTATCTTCCATATGGATGCTCCCTATAGGATCCTTTTGTCTGCCTGGACATTTGGGCCTTTCCTCCAGCCCCAGAGTTGGACCATGAGTTGTCCCACTCGTCTTGAGCTGCAACAACAGAGAAGAGAAACAAGGGAACAAACCGTTAACATTCCGTGCGAGGCAGATAAGAGCTTCTATGAGGCTTTTCAGTGCGCATGTGTAAGTGTGTGCTACGAGTCTAGCTCTTACCATACTGCTCATATGAAGGTTCCTGGGCCTCTCCATGTCCATAGTCATAATATTCAGTGTCACTGATGGTGGAAAATAAGTGTTAATACAGTACTCCTGTAATTTTTAAATTAAGTACAGATAAGCAGATCATCAAATGATTGACTTACGCTGGTGCAGATTGCTGGTTGTAATAATTGTCATATCCTTCATAGGCAGGCTCAGCATAGGACTCTTCATAAGGAGCCTATGAACGAAGCAAAAACATATTAAGGCAAACTCATGAAAGTTACAATGAAAGGGAAAGCTCAGAACTCGGCACCATTAAAAAAATAAAACATGCAAAGAGAAGAAACAAACTTACATAGTCCTCATAGCCCTCAGCCTTGGGCTGGGATCCTGATGGAGGACCCTGGTGCTGCTGATGGGACATAGCTGCAGAGGGGAGCATCCTTGGAGCACCTGCTGTAGGGGCTCTAGAGCGGGGATTTGACCCCCCTCTATTAGGCGCAGAAGGTGGTCCACCCCTGCCAGAAGGTGCACCTCTGGGAGCGCTGCCTCTTCCTGGTCCTCCACGTGGCGCTCCACCCCGCATTGCTCCACGAGGGCCACCACGTGGCATTCCTCTACCCCTATGGGAAAAAAACAGCAATGTGAGCCTCTGTATTTAAATTGACAACATATTTTTCTATGTGGTCCCAGTCAAAAGGTTCCTGGGCTTTTAATATACCAACACTCTGCATGATGATGCTAGACTGTGCAGTGGTACAGGTTAATGTTATTGTCAGAAAATCAGGCTCCTACCTAGGTCCTCCAGCACCAGGTGGTCCACCTCTGCCCCTTCCATACTGACCACCACGTCCTCTGCCTGAACCATCCTGGGATCCATTCAGGAAGTGAGGGTCCATGTAGGGGTCATGCTCACCAGGCTCCTACAGACATGAGATAACATTTGTTCAGTGTGAGGCATTCCATAGTGGTGGTCGAAGAAGAAAACTCTCCACTTTAGTTTCAATTCTCAGTTTGAAGCCTAAGAAGTATTTTTTTGGACACCTACCGGAATCAGGAACTTCTTGACCTCCTCCATGGCATGAGCCATGCGCATATAAGCTTCTGGTATAGGGGCCATCACCTCAATAAACACATGCAGCTCCATGGCCAGGTGGGCGTATTTAGCCTCACCACCCTTCCTTAGCTCCTCTTCCTGAAAAAGAATATCAGGTCAGAATTATTTTTGTTCTGTAGAAAACATCTGCTCCATGGTTATTGTAAGAAATAAAACCCTTTCAATGGTACAAGGAAAACAAATCAATGCATACCTTTGTCTTGTCTCTCATGGACCCTTTTCCAAGCACTGAAATCTTGGCTCCAGTCTCTTCCTGAAGTCTCTTGATTGTGCTGCCCTGTGGTCCCAAAAGCTTACCAACAAAATTGACCTGTGGGACATACAGAAATGAAATTTGCTTTATTAAAACAGAGTTAGGATACAGGCTCACAGCAAGTCTGCCACTACATAAAATAATGCTGTGGCTGTCACATTCATCACAAAAACGGGTCTTTTCTACTCTGCCCCATGTGGTTACAGCTCCCCTTTCTTCACAACACTGCATTTTTTTGTAGGCCACTGTAAATTATTCATGCAGAAACCAGTTTAGTAGGGCACCTGGCACATGACTTGACCAAAATGCCTGGCCGATAAAGCTGGAGGAAGAAGGGGTGTGTTAAGCTAACAGGATTATTGGGGCATGTGCAAACTGCAGGTGCATATCAAGGAAATGCAATTGGGGGGGATTTTTTTTTTGGGGGGGGGGTGCCTTTTACAGTCTCTACTCCCTTGGTGACAGTAGAGACTTTTCATACCCTGAATGGAAAAAGAAAAGACTCACCCTGGGGTACTGCTTTGTTGGAATGAGTACTCGCTCTTTGAGTTTGTGGCTCTTTGTGGCAAATAGGTCCAGATATGATTCCTTCTCTGGCTCCTTTTTAGTTTCACCTTTTTCGATCCTCTCGATCTCTGTGGGTAGGTCGAAATGGTTGAAAGTCGGTTGCTTTCTGATGCAATTGCTATACATTTCTATAATATCGAAAATGAGGAAACATCTTGCAGCAGCGGCGTGCTCCAATTCAAACAATGTCCATTTATTTTAACTTGAAATCATGTTCTTGTTCTTAAATGCATTCACAGACGGTATCAGGACATGGCAACACATCTTTATTTGCACATTTACGTTTGCAAAATGTGCATGTACCTTGCAACATGTGTCCAAATTCTTAACTGTAGCTATACAATTAGCTCTATTGCTAAGGTAGGTTACAATCAAACACATTGGTTGTTGCAACACAATGAGCCGTGTTACAGAATTAGTTAACTGCCTTGGGAAATAGACAACACGCCTTTAGTTATTCTCCCTTTAAAAAAAAAAAAGGTTTGACACACATTGCTAACAGCCACGTGTTTTTTTTGTTTGCGCCATTGTGCAGGCCTCTGTCGACCGAGAGAGGAACCCCACCAGGCCTCAAAGCCTTTAGCATCTCTTTAGCTTCGACACGCTAACAAGAAAGCACAATCACGTTTACCTGCAGAAATGAGTTTCATAGCGTGGGTGAACGATGAATCCAAGCTGTCCTTTTCAGCCAGGAGCTCCGGGAGGTATTTAGTATCTTCCATGTTGCTTTTCTGATGTGCTGGGCTTGATTCTATGACTGACTCAGATTTGATTTGATTACCATTCGCTTGGCTCATAACGTTGATGAACCGGGGTTTTTTTTTTAGCGCTGCTTCTTTTCTTTTCTTTGTATTTACGAACGAAGCCTTGCCCTGTTCGTAAGCTTAACAGAAACCGCAGGGTCTCGGATGAGTTTAAATAAATGGTCAAGTTGCAAAGCCGGTGTTTTCTCCTCTGCTAACCGAATCCCTCTGTTCAATGGACAAAGGAGGAATGGCGCAGCTGCATTTGAGTGTGAAGGGAGGAGGAGACAATGACGTCATCAAGGGATCAAGATAATGACAAAACCTCCGAAGAGAAGATTATCAAGACTTTATCGGTTGTCATTGTTTATGTTTTCTTATTGTCTTCTAATATTTGATGCCCCTGGCCCTTCTCTTTGTGTTTTTTTTTACTTGAATATATTTGTGAATAACAGCGAATAATCTGCAAAAGTTCAAAACATACACAGTAAATGATACAAGCAAACTCTTAATAGTTTAATTGTGTTGAGTGAGATTTCCACCATGATTCTCATCCCAAAACAGACAATCGAGTATATCAATAACAATCTGTTATCAGTTGAATTTCATTATTCGTTAGCATGCACACACTAGAAAGAAACATTTGGTTTGCTCACTATGCGAGGTGCCTTGCCTGAATAAAGGAGGATAAATTGCTGCAATTCAAGTTACTAAACAGCCTGCTCAGCCCAAAATGAAATAAAAACAATATAACAACTATAAAATACTAATGCAATAATAATAAAGACGCAAACAGCAGGTGTACACTGTAATAACTTGACAAATGAACTTTTAAACTTTAGCAAGTTTCAGCTGGATGGAGCATCGTGGTTATTATTCGAGCAAAACTACAATCCAGATGTTACATCAGTGTTTAAACAAGAGTAACCAGCATAGTCCTGGATGTAATGGCTGATCGAGTTTATCTTCATGATCTCCTTGTTTCATTCTAACTGAGTGCTTTTCCTGCAGAATGATTAAAAGTCACAAAATAGTCAAGGTATTATTTATTTTATCCCACAGCAAAAAATAGACATTCTTTGATTCATTTACAGCGATAAAGTTCATCAGATCAGTTCATTTTCAAATGTGTCATAAAAAACACCATAAAAGAGGCTGATTTATGTGAAATAAAAAACATGTTTAAATTTCCATATTACTTTAAGAAAATGTTTCAGTTTTTTCCCTATGCAGTGTTGTTCCATAATGTATTATTTCCAGTACTGCAAGTCTCATTTCTGTTGAAAGGTTTTGTGACTCTTGAAATGATGTAATTTGTGAGATATCGTCGTCATATCATTGATCCGTACTTCTCAGAGATCTTTCGTATTGTAGTGCACCATAATCTGAGAAACTAGGAGACATGCTTCAGTGAATTAACAATTCAACCTTCAAGAAGAAAATCCACTTTGTACATAAATCAAAAGTCAGTGCAATAGTAAAAACAAGACCACTTAAATTGGCCCTGTAGATATACCAGTTCTAGTTCATTGAACCAGGTAGTTGGTCTGCTTCTGGAGTTATCTTTAGATATCAATAATGGTGAAGATCTCCGGCTTTTCTGTATCATGGATCTGCATTGCGGAGTAAGTGATGGCTTTCACCTCAGTTCCCTGGATTGACAACACAAGACAACAAACTTTAAATATTGGGGATGTAACGATTCATTCCACTCACGATATGATACAATTCTCTCAATATGTATTTTACAAAATGAGACTGTAGACAAATTAGGTCTGAAAAAGATTCCTTTAGGGGATGCAAACCCACTTGTCAGTGTGGTTTGGCCTTTTCATGATTCAGTGATTGGAGCTTCTCATTGTGGTGTTGATTAAATACTGCATCATGTTGGTTGTGTTATTTATGTAGTTTCCTGTCTTCTTGCAATATATTGCAAACAGTTTTTGTCTGTTATATTCTCACCTCTTTCATTTTCTGTCTTGGGGAAGCCAAAATGCTTCCACACCAACGATTTAAAAGATGATGGTGCATCCTCAATTTCAAAATCTACAGCTGATGTCGCTCACCATATTATTGCGATTAGTTTTTCAGAGTACCGATGTGAATCTTGACACCTTTGAATCTATTTATCACAATTTTACGATTAACCTTTACATCCCTATTAAATATACATGTTACTGTAATAGTACTTTGCAGAATTACACTCAGAATGGACAATCTTCAAATGCTATTCTTAAACAATATCTTTATAATATTAAAGTTTATGAGCTTACCTGTGGATGTTTAACCAGAGAGAATTCTTCACCCCAACTGTAATAAAAACATATATAGAGCAAAGTTGTGAGCAGCTTGAAAGAATGAATAGACAAATCAAAATAGATTCCTGCAGAAGATGGCAAAGTGTTGAAAGGTGTTGCAGTTTACTTTCAGGATTGGGGACTGCAAGAAGGTTCTTTTTGTTAACTATAAATGGAGGGGGAGGTAAATTTGTTTTTAAGGGTCTCATTCTCAGTTTCCATAGATGATGTGGGGGGGTTGGTTCTGAAACAGCAAGAGGCCAGGATAAGTACATGCAGGGTCTGTTACTATGTTCTGTGCTCATTCCCTGATCCTGGATGAGCAGAGTGCTATCTAATGCATTTCTGTGTTCTCCCCTTAGAGCGTGACGATGCAGAGCTGACGTAAGGATAATTTCTTTCTGAAGTTGATGAACATTTCTTCTTTTTAGTTCCATTTTCTAACTGTACACAAGATGTAAGTGAAGAGGTACCTAGACTTACCCAATGGAGCGAATCTTGAAGTGTATTCTGTCTAAGTGCACAACTTTGACTTCCTAGAGGATGTAACACATAAATACGTCAAGAGAAGAACGTAAAAGTAAATGAATAAAAAGGACTTTTCCACATTTCAAAAACGTACGATATACAAACACCAACTACTGACCGACATACTCACCCTGGGGAACAAAGAAGAGATCGGCACAGAACTTGTACAACCAGTCGTCTAGGAAGTGGAAAAGAAGAGATTCCATGTCATCACCTTTTGGAAAAAGTAAGCATAGAGTTCAGTATCATTGATATGGCAGGACTGCACGACTGATTGAGGATAGAAAGGTTAATGATTTAGGCTTATGTTCAAAAGACAATATCAAACTATCTATACTCCTACCCTCTGACTCCACTTCAACTGTATCAATTGGTTCCACCGTCTCTGTATCGGTCATGTAGCCGAACATGCCCATGGCACACTGCTCAAAGGCTTCCTCCAGAGAGCTTCCCCAGGAGTGAATTCTTGGGAGAGTGAACAGAATATATGAGTTTAATGGCAACTGTACAACACATAAACATAACTTCAGGACCCGGCCAAAGAAAAGAAAAATAACAACTTTGCCTCTCCCTCCATCCTCCCCTCCAATCAAATCAAACGCTCAAACCAAACCCAAAACCCCGGCTGCAGTCAACTTCCGCTAAAACATCATCATTACACAAACTCTCACCTCTCACACCACAACACTGTTTAACATCAACATATTCAACACACACCATACACACTGCTCAACTCTCTTCTACCTCTCAAGTCCCCCTTACAAAGCACCTTCTCTCCCTCCACTTCTCTCTTTCTCTCTATCGCTTCTTTCACTTTTTGTATCCTTTCTTAGGTATTTCATATCGTTTTGTAGTTTTTCTGTTCGTAGTGCGATGTGTGTCTATTGACGTCTGCGTATTTTGCTGTCTTTATTTGTTTTATTTTATTATTTACTGTATTTTGGTGTCGTTGTCCTGACCTACGCTGTTTGTTTGTTTTTTTGTCCCTCATTTGTATATCACCAGTTTGTCACTTTATTGCACCTAATAAAAAAAATAAAAAAATAAACATAACTTCAAACAATTTAAAACACACTCACTGAACATCTGCTGTGTGATCCAGGTCTGTAACAGTGAACATTAAAAGAGACATAATGAGCTGATAGCTTATAGCAGCAACATAGAAAAGCTGAGTTTACTTACATATCATATTCAGTAAAGTATGACATATTTAACTTTATTCAGATACAGTTTAAATAAGAGCGCACACATGGTTTTAATCAAGGTAAGATAAGTTAGAGACAGTGTAAAGAAAAGTGTTGGGGATCAGTTCACAGGCTTAGTAAACACAGAGATACTTTATTGATCGTAACTTACATTCATATTTCTTGTTGATTGGAGGGTATTTTGACTTTGTGGCTTTTTGTTCCGCTGTCAGGTCTAACTCACGGTCGTCCATTGTGAGTTTTCTTAACGTTTTATTAAATGATGAAATCGTATACTTACTGTGTCAATGCGTTACAGCTGCTTACAGCATGAGGAAGTTATTCCGGATGTTGCGTCAACATCCGGTCCGGTTTGGTGCGCTCTGATTGGTCAGTCCTGTTGTATTCGCCATCGCCATCGTAATATTTACAGTCTATGGCCATCGCACGGCTTAATGTTTACAGTCTGGATTGCTCCCTTTTGCCAGTATTACTAATTTAACTCGTTTAACTACGGCACAATATGGCTGATAAAGATGGAATACGCTTAATGTGGTCACGAATGATTGAAAGTAGTACAAAAAAATGACTCAGAGATTAAAAAAAACCTGTTAATTGCTCTGGCCTGTGCGTTATTTAGATTACTGTCATTTAAAGCAATACAATTTAGAAAAACAATGTGTCAGTTATGTATTGTAATATATTGTAATGTATTTATAAAGTTAAAGATAGCTGCAGAAAATCTTGTATTGTAAATGTATTTGGTTTTAAATAATTTTTTTAGGTAGTTTATTGTAAATAATATGCAGTGTGACCAGAAGTGTTCAACAACCTTTGTTCAGCAAGTTTTTCATTTGTTAAAACCCATTTGACATTTCAGAGCTAGGAGGCTTTCGGTCTGTAAGTACCCAGAAGATAGAGATTGAGATCAAGATCAGAAGTAAACCGAGCTCGCTACATGCCTCAGAATCCTTACATCATTGCCACCAAGACCCCCTCTAGTGACGTGCTGCTCTTTGATTATGCAAAACATCCCTCAAAACCTGGTAAGAGAACAACCAAAATGCATTGTCTGGAAATATTTCCGATGTTTGCAACAAAAGGGTAGTTCTGAACAATATGGATAACTTTGATTTCCTGTTAATGAAGACCCTTCTGGAGAGTGTACCCCAGATCTGAGATTAAGAGGCCACCAGAAAGAGGGCTACGGCCTCTCCTGGAACCTGTACTCCAGTGGCTGCCTCCTCAGTGCTTCTGATGACCACGTAAGAAAGCTATCACAGAAAATCTGCATTTTTCCATCTAATGTCGTTGTTGCTGTTAACTTATGTTCATACACCCTGTTTTTTTCCACAGTATCTGCCTGCTGGACATCAGCACCAGGCCAAAGGAGGGAAATATTTTGGATGCAAAGACCATCTTCACAGGCCACACTGCTGTGGTGGAGGATGTTTCCTCGGGTCACTCTTCTGATCTGTGCTGATGACCAGAAGCTCATGATGTAAGTGGCTTGAAAACAAATTTGCGATGACGTCCAAGGCAAGACACAGAGTTGTTGTCCAGTTTGACCTTTCTATTCTTTAACAACAGAGCTTTTGTCTGCTTGGGCACAGCTGGGACATGCGGTCCAACAACACCTCCAAACCGAGCCATGCAGTGGACGCACACACAGCTGAAGTCAACTGCCTGTCCTTCAATCCCTACAGCGAGTTTATTCTTGCCAGTGGCTCGGCAGATAAGGTAGATTCACTCACGTCACTTTACAGGATCTGTTCACATTTTGTCAAATCTGATGACTTTCATTTTTAGACCGTGGCTCTTTTGGGACCTGAGGAACCTGAAACTCAAGCTGCACTCATTTGAGTCGCACAAGGACGAGATTTTCCAAGTAAGAAGTGTCTCTGCAGATTTTGTGGCATAACTTTTGTTTGGCTTATCTGGAAAAAAAATGTTGAGTTTTAAATGTTGGTAAAAATTAGTCACTAACAGACAGAAGACTGTAGTCGAACAAAAACATTCTCATGGAGCACTGTAGCTCACTAATCATGTTAAATTACAATGCTGCATATGAACTGATCTGCCTGGCAGCCCTGCATACATTGTAAATGGTAAAGCTTTTCTAGACTTCTAGTTCTAGACTACTGAAAGCTGCCATTAAACTGCCTGTCTCATTCACACACTGATGGCAGAGCTGCAACAGTAAGTGCCCATCAGTACTACCAAATGCCATTCATACAAATTCACACACCACTGGTGATGCTATTCAGCTTCAGCGTCTTACCCAAGGATCCCCAGGAGCTGGAGATCAAACTTTCCACACTCCGGTTTAGAGAGTATTCCCTCCAGCACTGATCCACAGTGGCCCAAAAGTAAGCTCATGATATTCCCAGCACGCTCCCATCCAAGTAGTAAGCAGGCTCGGCCCCATGTAGCTTCTGGTAGTATGTAATCATTGTAAACAGGACAACTGTCAGTGGAACAAAACTCTTTTGACCAGTTACGGACTTGTTTGGTGGTCCATCTCTACCCGACAGGTTCAGTGGTCCCCTCATAATGAAACCATCCTGGCCTCCAGCGGTACTGACAGGAGGCTCAACGTCTGGGACCCCAGAGAGGAACAGTCTCCAGAGGATGCTGAGGACGCTGTTCCTGAGCTGCTGGTCAGTTAATCCCCACGTGTGTGTTATTGCTCGATTTAACATGACATGCTGTAATAATGTTTCCTTTTCTCTTTCTCTTTAGTTCATCCACAGAGGACACACAGTTAAGGTCTGAGATTTTTCATGGAACCCCAACGAGCCGTGGGTCATATGTTCTGTATCAGAGGACAACATCATGCAAGTCTGACGGATGGTGAGAGTTTGGTTTGTCACATGTCGAATTCATGAAATTCTAAAAAAAAAGGTTTCTTTTCAAACACAGCATCGAGAGAAATGTGATATGCTTTTATTAAAATCGAACAACAGTCACAGTGCTAACACTTTTTAAAAATGCATCTTCTACAGGATAAAAATATCTACAACGACGAGAACCCAGAAGGTGCTGCAGTGTCAGAGGTCCACACATGAATCCAGTCTCCACGTGCCTTCATTTGACCTGCTTGTTAAAGATGGATCCATTATCCAGCACTGGGTACATAAGCAGTAAAATTGTTAAAAGGTTTGTTTTTGGCCCTGATGATTCTGTAGACAATTTAAGATTTAAATGCAGTTTTTTATCATGTCATGGACAATTTTTTTTAATCTATTTTTGGGCTTTTAATGGAGAGATAGGACAATGGATAGAGTTGGAACTCAGGGAGAGAGAATGGGGAATGACATGCAGGAAAGGAGTCACAGGTGGGACTTGAACCTGGGCCGCCCGTTTGGAGGACTATGGCCTCCATACATGGGGCGGGCACACTAACCACTGCACCCCATGTCATGGACTATTCAAAGTAAGTCTGTATCAGTCTGATTTTGAGATCTTTTTATAATGAGTGATCAACTTTGTGATGAAACCATCACTGCTGCATCCATTGATATTCAGGTTTTCACTTTGATGGTTTCACGTCTTGCGCTTTAATAAGTTGTGCTAAAAACATTTCTAAGATCAATTTTTAATCAAATTGTACATAATGTAGGTTTTCTTGATGCTTGTAGTAGTAGTTTTCTCATGATTCTTATTTTTTACAATCATTTTTTTCTTTGCTACATCTTATCTCCTGTGCACATGAGTGTATTCATAATAAATATTTACATATGTCCCCATGTGTTTTTATTGTTGGCACAAGTAAATGAATTGGTGAAAGCAAGCAAATAAATTAATTGTACTGCATATCACGAGTTAATTAATGTTCCGGTTTTTGACAACAAATGTGACTGAAATGTTTTAAGTCTTGTGACCATCATCCACTGGAAGTTATGGACCCTGCTGTGCAGTAGTTCCTCTGGGTTCATCACAGCCTCTATAAAAAAAAAAAAACGTTGTTTGTTGTCATCCTGATGCTCACAGGTGATCTTTTTCTTTAAAAGCTGTGTGTATACTCACCTCAGAAACATCAGCTCTGTTGAAAGGCCGTCCCGTAGTTCCTCCAAATCTCTCTTAGATTTTCTCTGAATCTCAAACCCCACTTGAAGTTCTCTCAGAGTCTCTTTTAAATTCTCCATCGTCTCCTGTGAAAAGTGAACAAACATCTAGAGTTAATTTTTTTCCAAACTTCCCCATTACAGCCTACATTTCAGTGACTACCTTATGCTGTGTGACACTCTCCTCCCTCTCCCTCTCCATCAGACTGATCCTCTGCTCCAGACAGGCTCTCTGCATCTCCAGTCTCTGCAAGTCCTCATTCAGGGGACCTAGTCTAGCCCTCAGGTCCACCGCCTGCTCCCTGCTCTTTCTCAAGGCGTCCTCCCCGATCTGCCTCCTTTTCAGCAGGGCCATCAGCCGCGGCTCGTACCAGTCCTCCAGGGCCTTTACGCTGCCGCTGAGCCGACGCTGCAGCCGGGCTGAAGCCTGCCGGCATTGGCTGACGTCGCTCATGGCCCGGGGCCTGCATGGTCTGGTGGACTGGTCCTTCAAAGAGATCAGCTGGTTCTGGTAGGCCTGCTGGAGCTGGGACAACTCCTGGTTAAGACTGTGGATATTGGCCTTGAGCTCTTCCTATTGATGAAAAGAAAATTAGAGAAACTCATACAAACATTCAATAGATTAACAGTGAAATAGCAGGAGGACAATAATCAAACAACTTAAAATTTTACTTACTTAAAAGGTAGATGATAAGGTTAAAGTGATGATGATTATAATTTATTATAAAGCCTCTGATGCCTTTTCCATCATTTTTTTTTTATGTTTCTAAGTGTTAGATTTATGAGCCTTAAACTTGTTTGAGTGAATCAATTTTGTGTTAGTTTTGTTTACAATGCTTTTGAGTGTCTTACTAAGTCTGAAGTACTCTAAAGTAGGGATTTTTATAAATAAACAATACAGGGTGAGTTCCAGTTGAAAATAGGTACAAAAGACAACTTTTTTTTTTTTTTAAGATTTATTTTTGGGCTTTTTGTGCCTTTAATGGATAGACAGGACAGTTGATAGAGTCGGAAATCAGGGAGAGAGAGAGGGGAATGACATGCGGGAAGGAAGCCACAGGAGGGAAGTGAACCTGGGCCGCCCGCTTGAGACGACAGCCTCCATACATGGGGCGCGCGCACTAACCACTGCACCACCAGCGCCCCACAAAAGACAACTTTTATTGAATTTAAAAATATATAAATGCAAAAGGAAATATGTGAATATAGAAATAAAACAATTGATTCATTATTTCACAGGTGAGATACCATATCAGAGCAACACACATTTGGTTGAAATTGGTTTGCATTGCTGAAACTTAACCCAATGACTGATAGAATATAATTCATTTATATATATACTTAAAGTTCACATTATTATGCAAAATACACTTTCGGATGCCTTTCTGACACTATTATGTTTCCCTTGTCTGTCTACAAACCCCCTTATTATGAGAAAAGTCCATCATCTCCATCTTTTGCCTGCTCAACTTTTCAGAAAATGTATATATAAACCGGCAGTTTGGAGATTTTCCCTTCATTACATCACAAAGGGCAGTGACCCCTCCCCCAGGTGGGTGACACTCCAACAGCTAGGTGTTTGTTCTACCCTCTGAGTCTGCTTTCTCGCCGTAAAGCGGCGTGGTCAGACACCGCTCATTTGCATTTAAAGCTACAGACACAGAAACAACCTGTTCTGAGCAGGGCTGATATAGAGGGGTTTATAGGCATGATCAAATACAGGATCAGAGTGGATTTTTAGCAAGAAAATCACAGGCAGGGAAGGCAGGTTTTGGGGAGTTCTGACAGTTACTACTTGTTAAACAGGAGTATAATATGTGACCTTTAAAACAGTTACAGAGAAAAATGTCAATGCTAAATTACATTTTGTACGTTAATGAAACAAAACATTTAGCCTCAAAATAATTTATTTTCTGTTATCGCTTAATGGCTTATTTCGGACTCTCTTTCAATCTGAAGATAAGAAATAAACGGTGAGCTTCATAACTTTATATCAAATATGTTTATTTGCATACTGTGGAATGACTCAAATTCAGCATTAACATTTACTTATGTAAAAATAGTTTTAAGTATTTGCATGAAAAAGAAGATTACAATTCAATGACACTTATAAAAGTCTTAAGTCTCTAAAACTACAGAACAAAATAATAATGATCTGCTCTAGCCTCCCACAGTAAATCAGCCCTCTATAGGTGTCATGCCTGCAGCGGTTCCTACCTGTGTGACAGCAGACTGAGCCACCTCGTACTTGTGTGCAGCCAGTGTCACCTGGCTCTGGATGCAGTCTCTGGCTGTGGCAAACAGTTTCCTCTTCACCTGTTGCACTTCCTCATAAACAGCGATGTAATCCAGCTGAGCCAGAGTGAGCAGCCTCTGTGTCACCTCCATCTTCCCCCGCAGGTGCTCCACCACACGCTGCATTGGCTCCTGCAGGCGGAGGAGCTCCTGGATCAGCTCGTTCCTCTGCGCCTCTAGATGAGACACCTGCAGGATGCAGTGGTCAAAAAGCTGACCCAAGTCATCCATCACTGCCCGATCTGTATGAATAATGGGATGTGGTGTGCTCTCATCTATGTTTAGTTCTGTTTCGGAGTCAGAGGTGCTGTGCGTATCTTCAACACGTATATGCTCCATATGTGAGTCCTCAGTGGATAGAACATCTTTCCTATTCTTTGCAGATGTTTGATTGTCCATCACCGGAGAAAGAAGCGCTGAAAAGAGAAATGTCATTAATCAAAGACCCATAACGACACTTGATGGGATTTGGGGTTAAATAATCAAACTGTTTTGCATAACAAAGCATATTCATGCTAATTGAATCATGCTTCTATTTCTGATGGCTATAAACCACTTAAACATCAAAAGATGGCGCACAAGAGCACTTAAAACTCTCAGTTTATATCAGCAGTCTCCCATACTGATCAATAACACTAAATACTAACTTTTGACTTACTGTGTTTGGAGCTGACAATCCAGACAGCTATGAAGACAGTTCTCTTTTAACCATAAAGACAGCTCTGCAGTGGGTCTGTCACTAGGAAAACAGAGGCACACTTTGTGATATTAATAACACTGGAGGCACAGGGGAAACTCTATCTAAGACTCTCACAGCCCCCCATGGGATCCAAAACTGTGTCAGTGCAGCCCACATGCTCTGGATGCATCAGCTAACACATGTCTCGGCCCGGGAAGAGGAGAGCTATATTTATACGGCTTTACAGCCTGTTTTTATGTGCATCTGAGGAGGTGGTGACATCATGACTTAAAGCTGTTGAGCAATAACTTTCTACATGAAAACAATTTGCTGCAGACAGGGGAAGTGGCAACATTAGCAGGCCTGTAAATGTTGGCCTGTTTACCGTTTCCTTTAGTGTTGAGCTCAGCTGCCCATCAGGTTTGCATGGCTCATATCCAGTATTTGCTTGCAGTGTTTTGCATGATATCAATCAAACTCAGTCATCACCCACAAAATGACACAGCACACTGAGAATTAGGAAGAGCCAGGACAGATATAAAGTATTTATTATATTTAACAATATCTTGTACCCCAGATAGAAAACCCACTGAAATAAAAAAATAAAAAAATCCAAACAGGAAAGTAATAAATTGGCGGTTAATACGTTAACATGCATCATGTGTGGCCATGGTAACATTGTGTCATTGTCAACCATTTTACTCACCATCAAAGTTTACCACAATACTCAAATGTGTCTCGTGAACTATTGTTTCGTCATTGCTTTTCTTTTTTTTTTACACAAACTGATGTGTGTGTACATTTTCAAAGGTGAGAAAAAAAATATTAAAAACATGTCTTATTCTTTGGAAATGCATAGTCAAAAATAATAATCTATTAAATAAATCAATCAAAAATAGGTTAAGTGTTGTTGATGACTTCTAATTACATGGAGCCCTTGGCACCATTACCTGTCCTATTTTGGTTTTCCGCTTTTTGTTATAAGTAGGTATGAAAAATAAATAAAACCTCAAGATAGTAACGTTTAGGCTATAAAAAGTTTAATGTCACATTTTAATTTGTGCCTCAAACAGAACAAGAATAAAAAATAGTTGGACCTAAGACTTTTTTTAAATTGAGATGAAATCATGTTAAACGTTAATAAGATGCGAAAAGCATATCAAAAATATTTTCAAAATAAATGTTGTAAGAAGATTTGTAAATCTTCACTTTCTTGTACCGCAAACTTATGAATTAGAAAATGCGTCGATTTCCTTTATTGATTTTGGTTGATGGTTGTTCGACGGTCTCGCCGCTAGATGTCGCCACCACACTGACTGCAGTCTCTCGCTTTCACCTGAGAGCGCGCAGCCTCCTCCTCCAGGTGGGAGCTGCTGCGGGTCTACGGCTACGAAACTTCTCTTAATCTCCCCTCTGTGGTCCACTGGAGCGTCTTCAGTCACAGCGGGAAGGTCAGCTGAGCTGGCATCCGAGAAAACGGATCTGCAACCGCGGGTACAAACAAACACTGACTCACGCAGCTTCCTCGATTACTTTTTCGCGGAAATGCTTCACCTGAAGTTTTCCTTCGGACGGTGAAAGTTTGGAGTTGGAGCAGGAAGGAAACAACGAGGAAACGCTTCAAATGGAGAGAGGCTGAACTACCCATCCGGATCAGAAATTTGTACAAGGTAGGCTATTTACTTTTCTGCGTTGTTGTAAAAGTTTTAACAGAAAAGATTTTAGCACTCATTAACTTTTTTTTTTAATGTCAATTCCCCTCTCATAAAGCCCTTTATCCTTTGGATTGTTATGTAGAAAGTTAAAATTTAGTTTAGTATTTTTTAAATAAAGTGGAAAACACATTAAAAGAATTCAACTGAGTCAACTTTTGAGATATAGGACAAAGAGTTCAATGTAAAGATATTGCATCATGTTGTTTGAACTTAACTTGTGGTTTTATGAAACAACTAATATAAGATTATGCTTCAAATGAAAGAAAACAGCATTGTGTCATCAGATAGAGTGAGGTGTTATTGGATGGTATCAGAACCAGGCTGAGTACAGACATGCATGAAAAACTAGGTGTGGGAGATTTGCTTAGGTTGGCCTTGAGGGATCCTCAGCACAGGTAATTTAAGACATGTAGCGCGTCACTCAGCTATGGAGCTGATCACAATGAAGTCTTTTGTGTTGTCACTGTCCCAGCAGCAAGTGACTGCTTGACAGCATTGAACATTTAGTCATTTAGTCACATTTAGTCCATAATGCTTTTCTATAGATCTTCTGCTTGCTGATTAACCGGGCACAGATAACAGGACCCCTCTGGGGGAGGAGGGGATTCTCCTTCCCTCCATCCCTGTCTGTGTTTGTCTGTCTGCCTCTATACTGGACTTTGAACTGGAAGCCAGTTCCAAATCCAAACTTTTCAGGGTCAACGTCTGCTGTGTTTTTCAGCTCCACGGCTTCAGGTTTTTGCCTCTAGTACACTCTGCAAGGTGAGGCTTAGACTGAGCCATTAGTTTAGAAAGGGTGTGTCCCATACTGGTGCTCCTTCTTCGCCAGCGTGCCAGGGCTTGTACCCATGGAGATTACAGGTGTGTTATGTAAGCATGAGAGGTACAGAAGAGCCCGATGGATTCCTGAGATCCAGATGAAGATCGAGGAGGTGGAGAAGGGAGGCAAGAGAGATGAGAAAGAGGGCAGTGCAAGAAAGTGACAAAGTTCAGCTCAGTTGAGGAGAGGGGGAAAGGAGAAACAAGTGGTCTTGAAACTGACAAAGACATGTGACTATTGTGTAAGGGTAAAGTTCCTGATGAGTGCGCCGTTAATCAGAAGGATTGAGTAACTCATCATTGAGTCCTCATCAATACCTCTCAAAGAGCTGATCAATGCCTGTTAGGGTTCTGATGGAGTTTGATTATACAAACTTGCCCAGCAGGTTTTCTGCCGACTCTCTGAAAGTTCACATGGTTTCAATTGATGCCTTTTTTTTAAATTCCCTTTCTGCTGTCCTCTGTTTTGACTGACACAGAACAGACACTCTGAAATGCCAGGATGTATTTCTAAAACCCCTCGAGTGTCCAGCTGTGTTTGCCTTCGCTAAGAGTTGGTCCGTGCATGCTGCTGCACAAGCACAACTCTTTCTTCTTTTTTTTTCTTCTCCTGACTGACCTGTCAGTTTAGAGGTCTTAAGAGCTCCTCCACAGAGGCTGCAGTCCACACTGAGACCCCCTTGTAACCCCTGGGAGCAGAACAAACAACACTGATTTTACAAAGCTCTGTGACTGTCTCTGCTGGCCCCAAATATCTAACGTGCTGTGAGAGAAAAGACAGAGTCTTCAGGGAATCAGCAGTTTACTTTGTAGGAACTGATGTCTTATGTAGTAAGCCAATTATGTCAAAAGGTGATGTTGACAAATACTTCAGCACCTTAAAATAATACAGCTGAATCAATCAGTCATTTAATTGAACAAAAACAAATGAGCTCAGAAATACGTTTGTAATATATAAAATTAAAAACACATTTATAAAATGACCTCCCACACACAAACATATACTTCAATTTTTCTAAATTTCTTATGGTCACTGATCTATTCCTATAAGACACATAGGAACACATGCACACACACACACAAAAAACAGATGCATTAGACTTATATTTGTTTATTTTTGTTCTTCTTTACTTTCAAAATTCTGAAATGTTGCCTTTTTATTCTTAAACCCCTGCCTTTGTTTACAGTGTGTGTCCTAAACATAGAAACACCCCAAACATTTTGAACAGTGAATTTTAAGAAACACCCCTTGAACTATGAACTGGTATCATGTGGATTTTTCACTTTTTAAAATTCTATTGTGAAGGAGACTTTCAGGGAGAGAATAGGTGGATTTAATTGTCATTGAAAATTATCTTGATAGATGTTGTGTTAAGTCAAAACATTTTAGGGTCTCAGGCTTGTATTACACACACTATTCTACATGTTCAAACTACAATTTATACACTCAACAATTAAAAAGATGTGTATCTATTCCAAATATAGAACAAAATGTTTCACTCATGTAAAATATTTGTGCCTACCCTATAAATAGAACACACAGTAAACAAACATCTTCACATCACATGTTTGTTATGTTATAACAAACGTTGTTATCTCAAAATGACTCTCATAGCTCTGTCTTATAGGTCACTGTACAGTTCGGGGTCGGGGGGGCTGAATGGGAGAACAAGAGCAGGGGACGAGAGGCGGGGAGGAGGAGGTGGCGATGTGGGGTGAAAGCAGATTTGGAGTGAAGAGTTCCTCAGTTAGTAATTATGAATCTCCCAGGAATGCAGCTGCTGCTCTTACCAGGCAAGCTGCTGCATGGCTACAGCGGCCTTGCAGCACGCCAACTTGAATTACACAGATCTGTGCACCCTACACACACACTCACACACTGACACAATAACCTTGGCAAGTTGTGTTTCTTAGCATTTTGGTTTATTTGTGTCATTATTGTCTTACAGTGTTATTTTTGTTTATTTTTATCACTGTCTTTATCTACATGGTTGTTTTCTGAAACTCAATCCTTCTTGCAGCAAAAATAGGGACCACAGAATGTCAGTAAGGGATTGTTTTCAGCCCAAGCCTTGTGCCACTGTATATTTATCCTGACATTCAGCTATAGAATCAAATTGTAGGAGATCCTGTGGCTACAATGGACCCCCCCCATCTCTTGAAATCTTATTGTTATTATCTGCTGCATAAGTGGAAAAATCTTCCTTCCTTATGATGGGAAATCTTCGACTGACATTCATGTCATTTCATTGACGCTGTCCCAGGTGTCAAACTCCCTCAAGACTTTCCAGTTTGTCTCTTGGAGGCTTCATCATCCGCCACAAATGTAGTCTTGTATATTAAGTGTTCGCACATGAATGTGCACAGTTGTAGCCCAGACATGGTTGCTTAAGTCTTGAGTAGCAATGCTGTCTTTGTTTGATAAAGCCCTGAGAAGACAGCCAACGCCCTGATTGATGCCTTCAGGTGCAGCACAGTAACACCAGTTTCACACTGCTAACACTTACAATGTAGTTACACTGTGTCCTTTAAGTTTTGTTCTGGAGATCTCTTCAGAAAGACCGAAACTGATGCATTACATCCTTAAAAAGAAACAGAATATTGACCTTGTTAATCAATCATTTCCGTCTAGACGACTAACCACACATAGCATGTCTTCACCCTTGTTCACTGACTGATAGGACCCGCCATGTGAAACCAAGCAGCTGAACGGCCTCCTGGTTAGACAGATCCAGTCCTAATTCAAACAAAGGTGGCAGCCTGTATCTCTGCCACTCCCTCTTTATCCCCATGAGACATCAGAGTCTGCTCCGCCAGCTTCCCTGTGTGACTCAACAAAGTCAAGTTAGAATTCCTGGAGACCCCTCCTCCTCCTCCTCCTGTGTCCCACCACTGCCTGTGAAATCAACATTGTCCATTTTCGTCAGAGTTGATAAGGAAGTGATTACAGTGCAGCATTTTAACTAGTATTGTAAGTTCCGTAACTCCAGGAGGGCTCATGTCTCACTCTGAATTTGAATAAAATGGTATGTAGCGTTACCAACTATTTTGTTAAATGTTTGAACTACCATCCAGGTGCAGTTTGCCAACTAAAAGAGTGTTGTTCAGATTCCGATATCTTAACTCTCCCATATACTGCCCAATGAAAGGTATTGGTTACCAAGTTGGTCAATGCACTGATCTGATAGCCCACAAAATTATCAACTTATTTCTTTCTCTCAATAACCATGGTACACACAGCCCTAAAATACAACATGGCCGTCTGCACCCACCTGTTTTAAAGTGAAAGAAAGGACTGATTTCAGGGATTTTATTATGGGACATTAGCAAACAATAACAGAGAGGCTAACAGAGTTTTATGTTGGTGAAAGCTAGTAAAATATTATCAAGGCTGTTTTTCTATCGCATATTTTAGGGCTGTATTTTTGTTAATCCAATTTAAAGTATAATTTTAAAATGTAAAAACACAAAATACAGACGTTTCAAGTTTAAAAATCCAGGTTTCTGCAACACTTTGTTGCTCCAACAGTTACTGCTTGTTAGCCTAGCTTGTTTCAAAGTTAGGCTTACTTATACTGAGCTAGCCCATACAATGATAGCTATCACCTACACACGATACATATTAAACTGATGTTAAAGACTAAATTGTAAATATTTTTTAATCACACTGGAATCATATAAGTATTAGGTTCCCCATCCATACAATGAGCCAAGTTGTGATAAGTTGACTCTGAATGAGGAAAGATAAATTGTATCAGAACATTTCCGTAAGTGTCAGAGTGTTCACAAACAAAAGGAGTTATTTCAAAGTCAGTGATTGTTCTTGTTGAGTATATCTCATGTTAAAGGCATTCTGAAAAAGACAAATAGGAATCATTAGCTTAATTCCTCCTTGGCAAAGATCTGTTAAGGGTGTGCAGGCCTCTTGGTTAAGCCACTTGTACATACAGTAGTTTTCACTTAGAACAAGAACTGGCTTGACCTCTTTCTTTTGCACAGCTGGTTCAAAGAAAGGTACAGTAGAGCCCAGTTAAGATGGGTTTCTTTGTTATATTCATAGTTTTTGGATGGATTTGTGACGGTAATCTCTGCTACTGTGTCTTGCTGTGTGCAAGGCAGGTGTCAGTGGCTAACTGTGCTTCCACTGTGTTGACCCGCCAGCATAAAAGTAAAGAGGAGACCACGTTTGCTCTGGAATTTATGTACTCAAGCCCCAGGTCGAGGAGCTGTCAAATGTCATTTCCACATTTTCTGATTTCACGATCTGTTCCATGACAGTGTGTAAACTACGATCAGACGCACTTTACTTCATGTGCACACCGCTGTCAGTGTCAGATAATCAGTCAGCAGTGCAGATATTGACACACTGCGTTGAGGTTTGCTGTGTTTGAGCGGTGCCTACTTTTCTCCAGTGTGAGTGCCTGCATGGCGTCTTTTCTAAAGGATAAGTAAACAACATGTTGGAACACATGCCCGCTCCAAAAGGACTGGGGCTGGGCTGAAATAAACACAGCCAGTTTAGTGTGAGTATAAGAGAGATGGAGAGAGAACATGTCACTTTATTGTTTGTATATCAGCTTAGGGCACGTGACTTGTTCATGGTCTTTATGAAAATATGATACACACGGATGCAGTGCTGTGTAGAAAATGCTTGCAAGGTTTTCCCTACAGATTCAAAACAAATCTGATTTTAAATAGTATTTTGGCTGTAGTTTGTGTATTTTTTTTTATTAGTGGAGAGTTTTAGTGATCAATAAAGCAACTCTGTCATTAAGATGTCTGCAATGAGGCTTTTACTTTGAAGGGAAATTGAGAGTCTGAAACTAATTTGCTCGAGAAAGGTTTTTGATGAGGCATTTTTAAGTACATCTGAAGCCATATTGTATTAAACTGAACATCAAGAAACGTTTTTTAGAGTGTTCATGCTTTTAAGGACACTTCACTTTTATGCGTCAACCTATTACATTTGTTTGCAAAACTGAAAATTGCATGTTGTTGTGTGTTACCACAGCAATGGAGGCATGAGTCAACTGCTTGTGACCGGGCTGCACAGACAACGGTCTGCTGGGTGGTCCTGTGCAATGTCCCAGAGTTCGTTAGTGTAATTTCAGTCTCTTTGGAGGAAGTAATGCAAGGACTTTATGAACTACCAGCAGCACGTGAACTATAAAGGAATGAACCAGCCCCCCTCTTACTGACTGACGCCCCTGGTTATTGGTGACTGTAGTCAGTACACATGCACTGATCTTAGTCATGACCAAATGACTGTAATTGAGAGCCACAGAAACACAGGGCTGAGTGCAGGGAGGGGACTGGTACTTCTTTCCTTAGAAGATGGATGCTCATTTTTGTTTTTGGCCTTTCACTACAACTCACTCCTCACATCTACTCCATACACACAGTGACAATATAAATGTGCTAAAGTGAATACAGAGTTTAGCTAGGCTACATAAAGACAATATACTACCTTAATAACGCTCACATTTGTTTAAAGATAGGAAAAACATTCAAGTGATTTAAGTATTCATCCTCAGCTTTTCCTAAGGCACTGCAAACCCCCGTCGTGAGGTTTAACTCTTTATTTAACTTTTTAGCTACACAAGCTGCATTGTTCACTGAAAAATCTCCAAACAATTGGACGGATAACCATGCAACTTTTTATTGACATGTGTAGTTTGTAGAGACTAGTGTATCCACAAACTCCTCAAAGGTCAACATTTTGTTTATCTTGTACTTTTAACAGAATAACTTTGAAGTGATCCACATTTCAAGGAGCCACAGCTTAACCCTTTGTGCAAATTAGCAAATGTTAGCATCCTTACATATTCAATTAATTCAACATACTTACCGTAACTCAAATGAAGTGTTTTACCCGCTGAACATCAGCATGTAAGGGTTTTTATTGTCTGCATGTTAGCAAGCTGACATTAGCATTTAGCACTGCTTTGCCATAATATGGCATCACAGAGCAGCTAGCATGGCTGTAGACTTGTTATGTTTACCAGTAGGGGCCATGTACAACACAGTGCAGTACAGAGTTGGCTATAAAGCTAATTTACAGCTGTGGTCTTATTCTTCACCATTGACTGCTTTGGACACTACTCTCATTTGCCAGTTTATTTGGTACAAATATGAAAGCTAATTCATAATAATACAACAAGATTGTAATAAATTCGATCCTAATGACGGTTATTATGTTCAGTATTTTGAAACTTGTGCAGAGAGCTGTTTCTTCAACCTTACTGTAATTTATGATTTTTCTGTTGTATATCCTATCTCTATTGGTAAAAGGGGGTGGTTACATAATATAGGCCCCTGTCGGTAAACAAAGAGTCAAAATGATCTTGAAGGTAGGGTCATGAACTGTACAAAATAAGTAGATGAAGCCACAGTGCCATCAGTAATGTGTTTGCAACCTGCCTGTTTGGCCATTAAAATGGATAATGCGTCGCCATCTTCCCCCGTTGTACAAAAATAAATCCAAAATGTCTCTCCTGATGGGCGCTGACATATTGCGATGGTGATGCCAGAGTTTGTGCAGAGGACTCTGCCCCAGGTATTGATGTCCCGCCCCTTCCGCTAACCAAACCACACATTTAACTTACCAATAAAACAGCAAAGATCCCTCAGGTCTGTACAGTCTACAGCAGAACAGATTCTTGGACTGGATTGAAGCAGACACTCATGGTCAAGCAAAGTTTAATGACTCTTTAGTTCCAGTTTATTACGTTTCCTCTCCTTGTTTCTTCCTCTACTCTGCTGATTAGGTGCACACAGAGGTGAAGGAGCCATATTTGTCAACTGAGCTGTCAATCATGCCGTTATACCTCTTTTATAGCAACAAATGGAAACTAACAGACAGAAACTATGTTTTAGAAATATGTATCTGGTGGTGTCTATTTTGATTATATATTTTGACCCATGTCCCGTCTGTTAACATGGAGGAGGCGGACTCTATGACCTATACCACAGACTTCACTTTTGTGGAGCTGTAATGTCATCATCTGTGCTCAACTTAATAATAACTTATGCTGTGTGACTCAAAACCAGAAATTTAGGTGATAATTGCTTAAATTATAATTGTTTAAATGTTTGTTGAGGACATAAACAAACCCTGACAGTACGCTCATTATCCAATGTGGTTTCATACATTCATTATTTTTGCAACCATGTTATTCCCCCCTGTATTGGCTCTTATAATAATAATTCAACTTTGTGGCCCTGGCATAGCATTTGTTTCACATCTGATATCAAAGACTACATCCACGTGTTATACAATCTGTAAGTAGCACTAACTTCCAGACTATTGTATTATAATGAATTAATTTAACCTAATAAGGTGAATAATATAATCCTCATGACTGAGAGTTTGACATTGACCAGACTTGACTGATAAAAGGTTAATTCATGACCAGTGTGCAGTATGTTTAACATCTGACTTTGAAAATTGCACATCTGCTTGAAAATCTTTCCATATGATTCATCCAAACCAGAGTCCCCTATGTTATCATCACAACTATCCCCTGCATTACACACAGCTTTGATGATAAGGCATCTTTTTGTAAAGTCATATTTGCAATCCTCAGAGGACATGAATTAGGTTCCTGTGCTACAGTCACATGCTTCTTAGTAAGTATTATTACTTCATTGCTCATAACTTTTGCTGAAATCCGTCTGCAGTGATTTCCATGCATGCTTGTGGTGTAATGCAGGAGCCAAACACTTTTCATGAACTTTCTCAGCAACAAATCCTCCAGGGATTGACATTTCCCTCGTTTTGACTCTGCTTCCACCTTCCTCCATTCTTTGTGCGCTTACAAGCTCTGACGCCCCTCAACTTAAGAGGCTGCTCCTACTTTTAGCCTGTGATTTGGAGATAAGTATCTAATAAAGTACACAGCTGGAATAAATCCAGTATCAACTACAAATCCCTAGGAGCAAGGCTGGGAAATTTGCCGCAACGTAGGAGAGTATAGGAAGGTGAGGGGGAGGAGGAAGGAGGCCTGGTGAAGACGATGAGCTAATTCAGTTTAGAATGAAAGAAAACAATGAAGGCAGACAATTAAACATTATGAGGAAGCTAAACCATACATTTCACTGATGGGCTGTACTTAATAAAAATGCCTCAATGCACATTAGCAACAGTTTATTTTTTTCATTATTTGCCTCTTCCTAGTGTGCTGTTGTTCCTCTGTAAAAGTGTGTGAGCCTTTGGGTGCGGCTTTGTGATTTATGACTCCATGTTAAGGAATGAAGGGAGCGGTGCCAGTTCTTTCTGTGCAGCACAGTGAAGTTTGGAGGCGGGGGGGGGGCTGTGTAGGCTGAGCGTATGGGTTGAATGAGCATTGCCCACGGTGACAAACACAAACAGATTGATACACACAAATCAAGTTATGAATGAGACTATAGGCTATGTGTCTGATGCTGTTTATATTTGCAGTACCGGTACTTTTTTTCCGCTCATTACTAGAATGACTGTTTGGCAAAGTTAGTCCATCATCTTGGTCCTTGGTTTTTTTGTGGTGCTTTCAAGGAGCCATGGATATTCACTACATAAATAGCGGAAGAGCTTGACAATAATGAGCTGTGATTCTAGAAAATCAGATCTGTAATCAGATACAGTAATTGTTGTAAGAAGACTGAATTTGGCAGCTTTTTGAGTTCAGGTGTCTTGGCAGCGAGGAATCATCAAATATCCGATGTTGGGGGATTTTCTTGAACAGAACAGCAAGCTTGGTTTTTCATTACAGCCCCCCTTGCAAAATCCATGCAGTGACAAGGTAACTTTAACAACTTATTGAAATAAAGAAAACTTCTGCACCACAAATAAATCAAACTACACTGTAATGCTTCCCTGAAGCAAATTTGAAGGGTTTGTAAATTATATTTTTGTCAGCAGGGTTAGAAATAATTCTGGTATTGTACCCTGGAATATTATCTCCTTCTGTAGAGCTTCAATGCTGACTCAAATTTAATTTATTCCTCTCTTCTTCTGTTTTCAGCCTGTAGCTCCAGCGTGAGTTGCTATGTCAAACCGTGACTCCATGGGGATTGGGGAGCTGATACCCCAGGATGTGGTGGATATCTTTGCGCAGAAAAAACACACCAACAGGAGCCGGAAGAAGCGCAGTACTCACTCGGCCGAGCTCTGGGCTGGCTGAAGGGAAAGAAGAAAAAGGATTTTGGCCTTAAGGGGCAGAGTCTGGGTCTGGGTCCTGCACTTGATCTGGCCTTGGATGGACGCCCTGCTGGACACAAGGGAGGACAGAAGTCAGGAAGCATGTTCATCCACAAGGTAAATGATTTCATTCTAAAATTGTTTTTATCTTTTTAAGTTAGAACTTTATAAGTACCGTATGTGTGAATCTTAGCAGCTACTCTGGTCAATCTTTATCTATCAATCAATCAATCTTAAATGTATGGTGCAAATTCATAACAAATGTTATCTCAAGACACTTTACAAAAGAGCAGGTAAAATACCTTACACATTATTATATTATCTACAAAGACCCAACATTAGTCCATCATGAGCACAAGCACTCAGCAACATTTAGTAAAATTACAGTGGAAAGATAAAACTTCCTTTAACAGGCAGAAACGTTGAACAGAACCAGACTCATGCTGAACAGCCATCTGTTGAAACTGTGTTGGGCTTGGAAAGTGGGATAGAGGGAGATGCAATATCTGGTGGCATTGCATAATATCCAATCTTCTTTGGGGTAAACCCAGAGATTGATTTCCTACCAAGAATGACAACAGGCTTGCAGAGACTTGAAACCTGCTTGAGTTTAATGATTCTTCACAGTTTATGTTTGTTTTTGACATCATGGGGATACAGTTTCAAACAGGGTTTCTTAAAAAGACCACCATTTTAAACTTGGCTGACCAAATTAATAACATTCTCCCCTTGGAGTCTGAATTTGCTCCCATGATGTAATGCACAGCTGACAGAAAATCTTATTGCAAACTATGTTTGGGATAAGTTCCTGGGAATGAGAGGACAACGCTGCTTCTTAGCTCAAAGTTCTTCATGTTTGCTCACTGGAGGGATGTTTGAACACACCGGCTTCCTGCTCGCCTGCTGACCCTCTGCTGGCTTTGTTTGCTGTGAAAAAAATCTTTCTGTCCTGTTCTGCGATACCACCACTTAACTTACCTGGTGGTCAGGTCACATGGAGGGTGGGGTGCTGCACTGGGGCCGACATCCACATGGATTGTGATTTTTTTGTGCACCTATATTCATTCATTGGCAACAACATAACTTCACATGTACATCATGATAAACTATAAGTACATTGCACAGCTGTTTGTTTGAGTTTGTGAACTTGAAGCACTAACTTCAATTTTACACCACCAGTATTCACACCTCAGTGCACTCAGACATGAAACACAAAAACATCCGATGAAATTCCTTAAACATTTTTTATCACTGATTTGGCTTTTACAAAAACTCAAACAGTGTTTGGTTTGTGCTTTTGTCATGCCTAATTTCCTTCCAGACACAGAGCCTGTTGCTCAGCTGTGTCTTCTGTGGGGGGTGGGGAATCTACTTGATTCAAACCAAACCAATTAACTCTCATACAGTCAAACTATAGCAACAACAGTAGATACAAATGCAACACATTCTTTTTCAGTCACATCTGCTACTTTGCATAGATAGTACACATGCACAGACAGGCAGGTATGCATTGTTTGAAGACTGCATTACTGAGTCTTTGCACTGTATTGTGCTACTTATGTGAAGTTATAACAGTGGTGTGAAAGGTTTTGTAAGTAAGAGAAAGTTAACTGAACAGTGAGAAGGTATTTATTTTCTGCAAAGGACACCTTATTGGCTACCTCCCACAGTGAGCAGAGGCTAGAAGTTATTTTCCACACATGGAAATTCTATTTATTTTATTTTGTTGTTGGATGCAAGTTTAAACATTATTGTGATGGAAGCTCAGTTATTTTAATTATAGTTGTTTCTCTGTTGCCTTAACTTAGAGAAATATATCCCTACAGGGTTCAAAGTGTTGACTGTTCAGTGCGATTTGGGAGCCACATTTGCTGTTGAGTGTGGCATCCAGATTGTTGCAACAGACTCCTCACCAGACACTTTCTCTGATTTAGAAATGATGCTTAACAATCCCCAAAGTGCATCCAGAGGAGGTTTTATTATGGAGGAAGAACATAGAGTAGAGTTTAACAACACGAGCAAATACCTCCAGCTGAGGCTCTGATGATGATCTGTAATGATGCCAGAGGGGCCTCCTGCCCGCAAAACGCCTGGTATGACAGGCACAGAGCCAGTTCATTAAAAACTATGCCAGGATGGCGAGGAAGGAACAAGGGGTTCTGTTTTTCCTGACCCCTCCAATCACAATGTTCCTTCTCTCATTGAGACACTGAGACCTATCAAACATCACATGGACTCTCTCTGTGTATGTATGAGACAAGTATAAACGACTGGTATCTAACCTCAATGCTTCATGAAGCTTTCAATGACAGCGTGGTTTTTCACATGTACTTTCAACAGAAATCTAAAGGGGACCGTGTACAATATTAAACATAAAAGTTGCTGTTTGATGCATTGTACTTGAGTTAGCTTGAAGGTATTTTTTATCTGCTGTCCCTTGGCAGGTCACACAAAATAAATCTAATTGGTTATTGATTTTTGTTTTAATGAAATGGCTATTGAATTAAAGTTGTAAACAAGATTACCAAAAACTGCTGTTTTTTGACTTCTAGATTGTGAGGACTTCCTGCTTTCTTTGCTTTCCAAAACATTCAGTCCCATTTACGTTAAGAAACACATTTAATTGGGGCAATTTTCAGTTTCAGAACAACATATTTAAAGCTCTCAAAGTTAAAACTCAAGTGTTAGATCCCTAACAAAGTAACCTGCTGTTGATACATAAGACAATATAATCTCCTGACAGTTTAGGTTTTGTTTGTTCTGCTTAAGGTTGCCCATGTAGGTTGATGTACATATCCTTTTACTTAAGTAATCCAAAACTTCTACATGGTTATCTAACCGTTCGTCCTGTGGGAATGTATTTTAGTAAACACTGTGTTTGGAGTTTGACCGGTCAGGGAACTGCACAGTAGCAGGTTTGGGAGAGATAAACTCTGGCCTACTTTATCATTCATCAGGCTAAACCCATTAACCCTTCATTGTCTTCTCTGATTACCTACCTGGACAATGTTTCATCCTTAGCCAAAGGGCCAAGGATATCTGTCGTCACATGTTAACTCACCTCCATTTGTCTAATTCCTTACATGGCTGATGTCCGTCCCTGCGTACCAGTCTGACAGTGATTTATGTCTCATGCAGTGCTGTGAGTTTACTCAATCCTTGCTGCTGGTTTACTCTTATGCAACTCTTGTGTCTCAAAAACTGTCCCCGCTTTTTAATACTGTAGGGTTCAAGAGGAATATTTTAGGTTTAATTAAATGGAAATAGGATGAAGGGGAAGAGTGATGAGGTCATACAGTCCGACCAAGGTACGCTCAGAAGGTCACCTGTTTGCTCGAAACTCTTCCCTCAGAGATTCCTCACATTCCTGAGCTTTATAAAGATGTTTATGTGTGTGTGTGTGTGTGTGTGCGTGTGTGTGTGTGTGTGCACGCGCGTGTGTTTGGCCTAGATGCCAGGTAACAGATATGAGACATTTTATTTTACTTTGTTGAATATTTTCACATAGACACTGCTCGTTTTAAGACAGATTGTAAAGATTGGGAAACTATGCTATCTAGGCAATGGGGCACAAGTTACAGCATCATCGTTAATATTATTTACAGATGAATCTGTTGCATGAACATAATACATACAGGAGCATTGTAGGAAATGGAGTTCTTTTATATGAACAAACATCCAGTTAACAAAAACAGTAAGACAGAGACTAGAGACAACATCATCCGTTACCCAATGAATTAAAAACTGTAACAAGTGAAACGTTTAATAATGTTTGCAGCCTTGTAGTTCTATATGATTCTGTTTTTGTGACACAGCATTATTGTCTGTAGTGTTGTTGTGACAATGACACAATGCAGTGAAAGGCAGGAGAACAGGTTTATGATAACTGACATCGGATATAGTTTCGCTTTTTTCCTCCCATGGTGGGAAATAATCAGTTATCCGCTTTTTCACACGATGTCACCTCAGGGGTACTTGGGGTATTTTTTGAATTTCTTTGAAAATCAAAGTTAGCCTACAAAGCTGACGCAACACAACACAACAAACACTCTGCTCATTGGTTTGGAGAGATTGAAGCTGATGCAGACGTGGGAACATCTGTAACTGAGGATGTGACAATCTGTATAGGCTCTGTGGGCATTTATCAACAACCTTTTGTGCAGCACATTTAGATTTCTAACAGCATCACTACTGGCTAAGCAATGTCTCTAAAATAAGCAAGCAAGACTTAAACAGAGACAAAAAAGTCTGCACACTAAATGTCCTTCAAGTAACTTTTTATCTGGGCAAGAGCAGCGTACAAAACAGCAGCGGACGTGTTTCAGCACAGGGCCTTCATCAGCATATTAACAGATTAAACCAGCAGTGGCACAGATGATTTTTAATTACAGGGTATTTTAGCTTTTAGAAGGATTTCATTTCAGTAGGTGAAGAATCGCCACACCCTAATGATTGAAGAGATCATATTTAGGTCACTTGAATAGTAAGGAAGGTTAACTTTGTGCCAGTTTGCCCTCTAGTCTAAACTGAATGATATCAGTTTAGACTACACTACACACACACACACACACACACACACACACACACACACACACACACACACACACACACACACACACACACACACACACACACACACACACACACACACACACACACACACACACACACACACAGTAGTTTGGTGTCAGTGTTGCCGAACTTAACATGCTGTCCAAAAGCAGCAGTTATTATGAAACTTTGAAATCACACATTGTTTCATTGTTTCATTGTTTCATTGTAAAGCTATGCAGACATGTTACTGTGGCCCTGCAACAACTGCAGGAGCTTTTGTCACGATAGGAAAATGTTTGCCAACACACTGTGGGATGTCTACAGACTGACTGATAAATATGTGCACGGAAACTTTTGTGAGTCACCAGCCTTGGCTTTTTTTTTTTTGTCTGAGTGAGATTTCAGGCGGTGGGGGCTCAATGTTAAGATTAAAAATCTTTGTAGAAATATTCTGGTGCAGATAGCTCTGTTGGTTTTACCTCACTAGCTTAGCAGAGTTCACTAGAAGTGCACATAGATGTTATGATTTATGTTGTTTTGTTCTACATTTTTTCTTGCCTTGA